TTCCTCCCCAAGTTACTTTTGGTTTTGGTGTTTATCATAGCAATAAAGAAAACTAACTAGAATTGTAGTTAGTTATCAGGAATAGGGATCCTCAGCCCTTGACAACAGCCAAAGTTACAGCTCTCAGGTTGAGGTATCTGAGACTTTGGGCCCTAAGACTGGATAGCTTAAAAAACTGAAGAGTGACAAAGGACTTGATAGCTTTCTGGAACTCTTCTAGCATCCGTGGCCTACAAGTTCTCTTCTCTAGTTCTTTTTGAAAAATAAACTTCATTTATTTATTTCGTGTAGGGATGGGGGAGTGTGCATGCCATGATACATCTTAAGACCAAAGAACTTTCAGGAGTCAGTTCTCTCCTTCCACCATGTGGGTCCCAGGGATTGAACTTGGGTCGTCAGACTTGGCAGCAACCTTGCTGAGCACCCACCATTCTCTGGCTCTTTCCGGCCTTCCCTCATCCTTCAGCTTCTTCGGCCATCAAGGATTGGCTGTCTACACACCTGCAGTTCAGCCTGCTAACTGCTCAGCTATGGCTACTCTGTTGCCTCTGCCATCTCAGCCACTCCACTGTCTCTGCTACTTTCTTTCATATTACCAGCTCTGCCTGCACTACTAAAAGTAGACAAGAAAAGACCACTTTTTAATGGCCCTAATGGTACAACACGAGGGGAGGCGGCACAAAAGGCTGTCTCCCTGTCACCTCACCAGATGAGCCAAACATCCTGTTTATAGGACCAGAGAAAGGGTATTTACACCAATCATAGCGAACCTCATTTGTATTTGCACCAACCACAGCTTTGTCCCTTCTGGACCAGTCATAGCAGTCCCTCTGCTAGGCTACCAGAAGTGGTCCCACTCTAGCCTAGGTAGAAATGATTCAGGGTCACCTAGAGTTCACCAAGGCTTTTTATAGCAGATGTTACTACAAACTGTGAGATAGTCCTGGCAAGGGATGCTCCTTCAGGAGCTGCAGTTGTCCTGTAGGTTCCTCAGGATATTCAGGGAGCGTTCAAAATGACTGCAGCTGGCATGAGGGTAATCCATCTGAATGTCTGACTGATAGTCTTTTTGCTCAAGGCAGCCAGGCAGTGAAGGAGAGTCCAACAGCTGCTAATTCGAGAGTCAGACGTCCCCATCCCCAACATCTGTGTGTTTACAGAAAAATGCTCATCAGAAGGAGTGCTATCATTTGAACTTAAAGAACTTATCAACAACAGTGATCTTAACAGATATTAGTAGTGATTTGACAATGCTTACTACCTACCCAGTGTCTCAGCAAGGTGACTCTTCCTCATCTGTCTCAAATGTGCACATGTGCATGTGAGAGGTTCTTAACTGATAGATGATTGCTCAGTAAGATCTTGTATCTGGCACAAGGCAGATCTGCATCACGACTATGAACAAAACTTTGAAGTCAGACAGATCTGGGTTCAAATCTAACTTAGCCTAGCTGTATGTCCCCGGACAGATTATAAAACCTCTCTGTGCCTTAGCTCCTCATAGATGTAAAATGAGGAATCATTGTTTCTACTTTATAGGCTGTTGTAAGGGCTAAATGAGATAAAACATGCAAATCACTGTGCCTAGAATATTATCAGCTTTGCATTAATTATTAATGCTGTTAAACGCTGCTACTGAGTGAATGAATTGAAATCCTGGAGCTCACAGTAAGATTTGAATATGCAGTGATGTTGTGAACTAAAAAGAACCATGCTGCATGCTGTCTGAATGCAGCTCTTTGTGTCACAGGCAGGTACTCCACAAGTGGAGATGGGTTCAATAGAGTCGTCTTCATTTCACCATTTTGAGGGATTCTATCATTCTGAGACATTACAGTATTGCTATACTGACCTCCTAATATAAGTGTTTGGAAAACAGATTCCCAGGTGCAACCTTGAAAAGCGGCATAAGTGTATGCAATTTTTGTTCATTTTAAAAGTAAGTTTGGGGACTGAAAAGATGGCTCAGCAGTTAAGAATACTTGCTGCTCTTCCAGAGGACCCAGGTTTGATTCCCAGCACCTACATGGCAGCCAACGACCATCTGTAACTCCAGTTCCAGGGTGTTCGATTCCCTCTTCTGGCCTCCACGGGCATTACATGACACAGGTACACTTGCATACATGCAAGCAATACATTCTTGCACATAAAATAAAATAAAAATAATAAAATATTGAAAAATAAATTTGAACTAGAAACAGAACCATTGTAAGGATCTCTGTGATTACTCTGTCTTTTAGCTGGCCTCCAGACTCTGCACTTCTCAGTCCCAAGTTCTCAATCTTGAATGAGACATCAATATCATGTCATTGCAGAACAGTGGGTGGCAATGATAAAAATAGTGACCAGCATTTACCCAGGCCCCACTGTGGGTAAGTTCATGTGCTAAGCAATGTGAAGCCCTATTTGGCAATGGGAAAACCTGAGCATGCAACGATCAGTACAGTGTCCAGCTAGTCACTGGCAGGGACAGGCAGGATGTGCAGCATACACTTTGCTGTGCCTCCACCCTGCTGCCCACAGCTGGCTTGCAGAACAGCAGGTGGAGGTGGGAGCCTCTGGCTCAGCAGGGTACCAGGTAGAGGGGTGGAGGTGGAATTTCCTCTCTCTCTTTCTCTCTCTCAATGCTTTTTGGAGTCCCCAGGGCTAAGGAGATTACTGGGAGCTGAGACAAGTGTAAAATGTCTCACGTAGTTCTCAGCTGTGAAGATATCAGTGAGAAGTTAGGGACTATGGAATGAGACCCTATCTCAAATAGACGATAGAGAAGGGATAGAGACCAGTTTTGACAGGTGCTCATTCTAATATTGCTATGCCTGCTGCTCTCTTTGCATGCAGTACTCTAAATAAAATGGATTTTTCCTGAAAGAGAAAAAGAGTTTAGGGGCCCTCACAGATGCTTCTCCAGAGCCCAAGGAATTGGGGCCCAGACTGAGACAGTGGGCCAGATGCTGATGAACCTCTTTTTTTATTTCAATAAGTTTCTTAATTCTTAAGTGTTTTTCTCACTGCTCAGGGATTTTAGTTCTTTTAAATGGTTCTGTGAAAGTTAATGATTTGGCTCAGGTTTAGCCTAGCAAGACTAGTGAGAGAACTTATGTACTTGGGCTCTACAAGCAATAGCTTTCCATCCATGTAAGTGTAATGAACAAGCAGGAAAGAAACCATCTTCAAGGCCAAGTTAATCCAGCAACCCCAGGTGAGCATTTGGCTCTGTGTCAAATCCTCATACAGACATTTATGAGGTTGAACCATAAGCAATTGCCATTTTTGTAGGTCAAAAATAATTGATTATCAGCAAATGCATATGTTCAACTTAACACAAGCTGAGAACCCAGAAGGCAAAGGAGTCATTAATTTATCTAGCTTTGGTTCCATCCCAGCAACAAATATTTATTGAACATTTCTGTGCCTAGCTCTGGGTACAAGGGTAAGTAATATCAAAATCCTGACTTCAAAAGTCTCACATTCTAGTTAAAAAGATAAGACAAACTCATAAATCATTCAAAAACTATGTAAGAGGTGATAATGTCATTGTAAGAGAGTACCCAGACAATAATGAAATCAAAGATCTTTGAGGTAAAATATATGGTAATAGTTTATATGTAAAGAACAACATGAATCAATGAAGAAGGGATAATCAGGCAATGTATAAAAATGGGAAATGGCAAGATTCAGCCCATGCAGCAAATGTAAACCAAAGAGAAGAGTTAGGTACCATTTATGATGAGCTTCTGCGACATGCCAAGGAGTCATGCCTTGATAAGTGGAAAGCAGCCACATCAAGAGAGAAAGATCATGAGAACTTGAAAATCAGAGCAAGTAAACAATGTTCATGAAAGACATTACAGCCACCCATTACATGTGAGGACACCCAAGGTACCTTGCCCAAAGTCACCCAAGAAAGGGCAGTCTGACCTTAGACCCCAGGCAACCTGGGACTTTGCTACACTATGGTCCAAGAAAAATGAAACCGTATGTCTACACAGAAACCTGTATGTGAATTAGCACCATTATTTGTGGAGCAGATACAACTCAAATGTTCATCAACTGATGAATAGATAAACAAAATATTGCAATTCTATGCAGTGATTCAGCCATGCAAAGAGCATGCTGCAACATGTTCATAATACAGAAAGGATTATGTTATATTAACTCTGGCACAAATCACCCTGTATTCTATGACTCCATTTATGTGAAATTGCTGAAATAAGAACCAAACCGTAGACCATGTTTGCCCAGGGCTACAGGAATGGAAAATAAAGGGATTTTCTGGTGTTTTGTTTTGTTTTGTTTGTTTTGTTTTGAAGCAGGGTTAGTGAAAACATTCTGAATTTAGATTGTGGTGCTGATTTCATACATATGCAGTGATACTTAAAACCACTGAACCATATACCATATTTTAGGGTAATGTGAATTCTATGTTTTAGAAGAAACTGAAAATTGTTTAAGCATCTAAAATGATTCCAAGGGTTTGTGGGTGGGGTAAGCTAAGTAGTACCTGCCTACTACATGTAATTGAGCCCCAGCACTATAAAAGAAAGAAATGGAGAAGGGAGGGGGGTCGAGGAGAAAAGGGGAGGGGAGGGAAGGAAAGAGCCAAGAAAGGAAAGGAAGCGCATCCTCAGATGTCTCCAAGTATAAGCATGTACGTGACACCTGGAGACCAGGGGAAATGTCAACCAGTTAGCTACATTGATCTGGGACTTGGAAAGAGGCACTGTCCAAGCAAACAGTACGTGAACAGGTCCCATGCCAATCCTAAACACACACACACACACACACACACACACACACACACACACACACAGGTATCAGCCTGTTTTTCTGTTTCCAGGGAGCTCACACTGTTCAAAACTTCTTTATATTCTGTAGACACCCGCCCTACTTAGACTCTTGAGTTAACTGTTAGTTTTCTTCCTGGCCCAGACTTCAGAGTCCATTCACAAGATTGCGCTACATTTAACCTGTTTCACTTTTGTTTTGCTTTTGTTCTACAGTTTTTGAAGAGCCGGAAGATCCAAGCAACAGATCATTTTTCTCTGAAATCATCTCTTCGATTTCCGATGTCAAGTTCAGCCACAGTGGGAGGTATATCATGACCAGAGACTATCTGACCGTGAAAGTCTGGGATCTCAACATGGAAAATCGCCCCATCGAGACTTACCAGGTACAGACCACCAACCCAGTACCCAGAGAAGCCCCTTTGAGAACTCCTAAATCAGCCTTTGCCTGCAAATTCTTATGACTGCCATGGACTAGAAGGAAGTGCCTGGTGGTGTGTTCAGTAAAATGCTACAGGCTGCAAGCCCCATACAGTTTAAGATAAGGATGTACATGGAGAGGCAAGAGGTATCACCTGGAAATGTAGCGTGGGATGGTTGGATACCATAGACAGAGTGAGCAAGACAAGCATAACCCTGCTCTCATGAAGCTGTCTGATAAAGAAGTGGAGGGAATAAGGAGTGACTGCACTTGTGCAAGAGATGGTGCTGAGACTTGGGACCCAATGACAGGGAAGCTAGCTGGGTGAGGAAGGTGAAGAAGAAGCAGCATGTGCTTAGAAAAATATCATGGTCGAAGGCCTGGAGTCAAGAGACCTAGGCACTGAGAAAGCTGACCTTGAATGCAGAACACAAGGGCTAAAACATGAACCTGAACGTGAAAGCAAGGGCCTGGTCTTGCAAACTTGGGTACTGTGAGTTATGCTATTTATCTTTGGGTTTGGTACAATGGAGATCTATAAAAAGGTTTTCTCCCAAGAAATGGTATTGTTTTTGTGAAAACATGGATTTCACTTGACAATTTGAGAAGCAAACTACAGGGCAGGAGATGGTACTGTCTTAGGCTGCATGATGGCAGAAAGATAGAAGTGAGAGGACAGAGGGCCACTGACAAATTCTCTCACTTATTGAATGTGCAAGAGTCAAAAACACTATGAGGCAGTTCTTGGCTTAATCACTGGGTAGATAGTGGTAGAAACATTGACGGTGGGAATAAAGGAGAGGGCATTGTTTAAGAGTGATTTTATTGAAAGAGCCTGACCAGACTTTGGGGTAGAGAGGGCTTTAAAAAGACAATCCTGGGCATGAGACAAGGATATCAGTCGAGGGGCAGAAATAGCTGATCCTATTTTAAGATATCTTTAATTAGGTAAGAAGAAATGGGACAAGGAAAGTATAGGCAAACAAATCTGACTTGTATTGTTCTACTTCAGATACAATTCATATATCGTAGAATTCAGCCATTCACATTATATGATTCTCTGAATTTTAGTATATTCACAAAGTTGTAGAGGCTTTGCCACAAATCCCAGAACATTTTTGTCACTAAGGTTTTCTTTAAGGCATTCTGGTTTTGCTGAAGAGGAGAAACTGTAGCAGAGTTGTGTGGAGATAGAATGGTCTTTAAAGTTATTGCACTCTTTGGCAAGTGGGTGATAATATCCATATCTGATTTGATGTAGGAAGAAAGTAAATGCCAAAGAACATTCTAAGGTTCAATGTCTTTTTTAAAATATTTTACTTATTATTTTATTTTATGTGTATATGTGTGTGTTGCCTACGTGTAGGTAAGTGCACCCATGTTGTGCAATGCCCATGGAGAACAGAAGAGGCTGTCGGATCTGATAGGTAAAAAGTAGCCGTATGACAAATAGGGTTGATCAGGAGAAAGCAGAGTTTATTAGCAAAGGAACACATGGGACAGATTCCCTTCTGGGCAGGGAAAATATCTACCCAGGTCATGAGCTGGGGTCCTTTTAAGGGGGAGGCTTCTGCTTCAAAGGAACACATGGGACAGATTCCCTTCCAGGCAGGGAAAATGTCTGCCTGGGTCTTGAGCTGGGGTCTTTAAGGGAAGATGTATTTTTTTTTTTAAGTTGAGGGAGAGTGGGAGAGCAGGACTGTTAAAACCTGTCCTCTTTAGAGATCAAAGGGGAAACCTGCTGTGTTGGCCAAACAGTGGAGAAAAGTCTGCTTCTCTTGACTTCAAAGACCAAGGTACTTATCAATTCAGTTCCCTTTCCTCAGGAGCTTGAGAAGTCCATGAGACCCTGTTGGTGAGGGGGTGGGGTTATCTGAACCTTAACAGGATCCCCTGGGGAACTGGAGTTACAGACAGTTGTCAGCTGCCATGTGGGTGCTGGGATTCGAACCCAGTGTTCTTAACCACCGAACCATCTCTCCAGCCCCAGGTTTAATGTCTTTAACAACTAGAAAAGAGCAGCCACTTTTTATTTGAAGGAGGAAATTGAGACTGGCTTTGAACATGTCAGTGCAAGCACCAGTGGATCTTCAAAACCAAAGGACTAGAAAAGCCCACCCATGTAATGAGTATAATTAGAGAGGAGATTGGGACCTGTCCTTGTGGCCCAGTGCTTTCAGGCTGAGAATAGGAAGATGACCTGGCAATGGAGAGTGAGGGGAAGTTGCTGTTTGAGGTAAGGAAATCAGAAGGGAGTGTCTCCAGGAGGCCTGTGAGCAAAATGTCTCAAGGTGAAAAAAGACACCAATTGTGCCGTTGCTAAACTAAGAACAAAGGGACTGAGCATTGGGCACTGGGTTTAGTCACATGAGATTACCAGTACCTAATGAAGGAGTATGTGGAATAGGATGAATGACTGTCTGATCAGAGTAGTTCGAGATTGAAGAGAGGACTTGAGCATAGAGGCTAGCGACACCTAACAAACTTTGTCTTAAATGAAAGCAGAGAAATGGGCTGGTAGCTGGAATGTGGGATATAAGACGGCAGGAAGCTATGCTGTGTTTGGGACTGACAGAAATAAGAGAAGAGACAACTGAGAGCCGCATCCTTAATGGAAGCAAGGAGGAATGGAGTCCTTGAAGAACTGGCCTTAGACAGGAAGCACATCTGCCAAAGGAAGGAGAGCAGTGTATGTGGCTCCACATGCAGTAGGTTTATAAATTCTGTGTTGGGAACACGTCCATGTTCTCCTAACATTTCTATTTTCTCAGTAAATGAACAAGGTCATCTGCTGAATGAGGAGAAAACATGAGAAATGTTCATCTAACAGAGGGAGGCATTGTAAGGTCATGTGGGGATCAACTTGAGGTTTATATTGTTAATTTAAAACCTTGGAGCCTTTGAAGGAGGTAGGAATGTAGTGTAGATGATGGAGAACCTGCCTAGCATGGAGGGAGCCCTGGGTTTGGTTCCCAATAATGCATAAACTGAACATGGTGGTGTACAACTATCATCCCAGCACTCAGGAGGTAAAGGCAGGAAGATCCAATCAAGAACACATTTGGTCTGAGATATGGGAGACCCTGTCTTTAAAATATAACTTTTAAATAAAATAAAGCAAGACCAATCTGCTGTGATTGTTTCTTCCCAGTTGCATTCATCTGCTTGATAGAGGAAAGAGAAAGATTTAACCAGTGATGCAGTTTGCTAAAGGAGCGTACTAGAAAGAAAGAGAAGTTTGTCAAACATACATGCTAAGAGTGTGGTTATAATGATAGATTTACTAAGAAAGTAAATAAAGAGCAAGTACTTAGATCAATGGATTTAAAGAACTGACAGAATCAAGATTCTATGAACTTTTATGAAAAGAAAGGAAGTAGCAATTGAATGAGTTTTGCCCAGAAGACACAATCATAGTCATGACAGGGTTTGTTATAGAACCACAGGGGCAGAGGGAAAATTTTCATTGAATAGGATGAGATCTAGTAGTTAAGAAACCAGGGTGTCTGAATGACTCAGAGTGATGGCAGGAAGATAGAACAGAGATGGAAGTTGCTTCAAGGCATGACTCAGAGCTTTCAATGACTGCAAGAACAATGGGGAACAGGAAGTTTACTTTGAATGTAATACATCAAAAGAGTCAAGGACTTGAGACAGGAACAATTTCCATGGGCAACAAGGAGTCCTCCTACCCCATCTTTTCAGATGGAGTTACTCAGAGCAGAAATCCTCCATCTTTGTATCTTCAGAAGAAACAGGAGGAAAACTTCAGAGGAAGTTGTAAACACTGGAGGTTTTTTAAAATATATTTTTGTTGAATTTGTGTGTGTTTCATGCAATATATCTTAATTAAATTTAGCCTCCTCTGTCCCTATCTGCACCGCCCCCACAGCCACCCACAGGACATCATGCATTTTGTCATCTATGTTAAGGCCTATTGAGTGAAGTTTTTGTCCCTAAATGTCCCTTTGTGTGCATTCATTCGCTGGAGCCTGTTCAACCTTATCTAGCATCACTCCCTCAAAGAAGATCTACTCTCCCTCACCCAGCAGTGATTGGTTACCAATAGTTCCTCCACTAAGGTTGGGACCTCCTGCCCATTTCCCCAGTTCTGTGCTGGTTTTGTCTGATTGAGTTTGCATGGGTCTTATACAACAGAGGGTGATAAGCACAAAAGGCCACCACTGGCCAAAGTGTAGAGAATACAAGACTGCAGAGTGTGGGTCCCTGGACAGGACTCCTATATTAAACTTCACCCACTCAGGGTTCAGGAACCATTGCTGAAGAGAGAACGGAAAGACTGTAAGAGCCAGGGGAAAAAATACATGACCATAAGGAAACAGAGTCTTACAGGCTCCTGGGACCTTGCTCATATGAACTTACAGCAATGATGACACTGTAGTTTTTAAAGGCTGAGTTCCAGAGCACACCAGAAAATAATTTAGGAGCCAGAATGCAAGGCCAATAGGTAGTTTTGATGGTTGTGCTACTCCCATAGTCCAAAAAGCATGCCCTGTTCACAGCTACCAACAACACTAGCTCCTCAGCCCTGGGTCTTTAGCCCATTGTAGTAATGGTGTCCGCTTCCAGCTGCATTAGGTAAATCACATAGTGTCACAGTCTTCAGTGTAAAAGAGGGGGCGATGGGACTGGAACCTGAGCATGGGGGCTATCACAGTGGGCAGCCTATTGGGGACCCTTGACTAGCAAAGAGTTGATTCAGACACAGGGTGGCAAGAGCTATGACTGCTTTTATTTTAGGCAAAGGCTTTTAAAACAAAGCGGTTTTAGAACACAGCTAGCCAGCGGGTCCTTGTTCTAAAGCCATGTACAGCTGGCAGCAGACTTGGAAATTGTTTGTGCAGAACACAAAGATACATGTGGCTTAGCACATGTATTGAAATGAGGTATCACATTTTATTTTAACTTAGAATAGTATGCCTGAGAGCCATTTGAATTTACATACTATATCAAAGATAGTAATATACTATCTAAAATTTATAAACTGATTCAGTGAGTGCCTAGAATGGTCTTGAAAAAGATTGTGAGAAAAAGATTGTAGAGAAGAGGACTTGGAGATAGGAACAAATGCCACAAGCAGCAAGGAGCCCACCTACCCAGTCTTGGCCCATGGAGAAAAGCAGAAATCCCCAGCTTCCCCTGAAGTGCTGCTAGAGCAGTCAAAGTTCCGATGAGGTTGTGAGCACTGGACAGGAATTGGCCATGCCCTCGCTCTGCATTTTTAACCCATTCACAGAGCTCAGAGCTCAGGCATGTCTCTGTGAATATAGACATAAGTGTCAAAAGCTGTTTTTGTTTATTTTTATGTGTATTAATGTTTCGCCTACATGTATATAAGTATACTACATGTGTACTATGCCCTTGGAGACCAGGAGTAGGAGTCGGATCCCCTGGAACTGGAGTTACAGACAGTTGTTAGCTACTGTGTGAGTGCTGGGAACCAAATTCAGGTCCTCTGCAAAGTGCTTTTAACCACGGAGTCATCACTCCAGCCCTTCGTTAGCTGTTTTTTAAGTTTTCACAGGATGGAGGTTGGCTACCTGCATCTGGCAGGCCAAATCCAGACCTTCTGCATTGTCTTGATAAATAATGATTGACTAAAGTAGACTCACACTCACTCATTTACGTGAGTCCCTATGGCTGCTTTCATGCCATCTGGGAAGAGTTGAGTTACTAGAACAGAGACTACCATATGGCCACATGGCTTGAAATATTTATATAAGTTCAACATTAATCCAAAAGTTCCAAAACTCAAAACTCTTGAATAGTAACCTAAGGCCACAGTGGAAAATTCCATATATCTAATCTCATGTACACAAGCTTTACTTCATGCATATTATTTTAAAATACCATATAAAATTATCTTCAGAGTATATATAAAGTATATGAAATACAAACAAATGTAATGTTTGCACATGTGGTGCAGTCCCAAGATAACTTATTATACATGTACAAATATTTCTACATCTGAAACACTCCTTTTCCCAAGCATTTTGGGAAAAGTTTATATCTGGTCTTTTACCAGGAAAAAGTCTGCCAGCTCTGAAACATAAGTAGATTTCTGCTTGGCCTAAGGACAAGTCCATTGACTGTATGACAGCACAAGAAAACCCCTGAGAGCAACTTTGGTAGGAGAATCTGCCGTGTCGAGATGCCCTTGCAAAGCTCACAGCCACCTAGAAAGGAACAACTATGTAAAGTGTGAAGAAGCGTCAACTGGGATGAAGCAGAAATGTTCCCTTCTCTAGGCACTATGTGGGCGTGTACCTTGTCTTATTCTCCTTTCTGGTAAACTGTCCTCTGGGTGCCTATGGTTTCTTTCTTTCTTTTAACAACAAAGCACAAATGCAATGCCCTCATAAAACACATCTTTCCCCTTAAACGTTCTCAGTTGGAGGCAGGCAGGGGCTCCCCAGACCCAAAATGCTGTGGAAGAAACATAAGGATTCCAATAAGGTTTTCCCTTGAATTCTTCCTGGTTTTTATCTCTTTAAGAATTATTTATGGAATTCTCAGCAATGTGATTCCTGTTGGTTCCTGCTAATGGGCTCACACTTCCAAAGCACAAGTATTAACACTTGTAATAAATGGGGTTTTCTCAGATAAAACGGCAACAATGAATGGCACAGTTCAGGAAGCCATCCTAAAGAAGAGGTTGGATAGAGCCAGGTCTTTCTTACAAAGCATGCCTCTGCCCTGTTTATAAACCCCCTCGGGTAGGTCAGTGAGTTAATTTACAGCAGGGATACTGCTATAAGGGCAGGAGTCAGGCCTCACCTTTGCATCCCCTAACTGCATCTAACAGTGCCCAAAGTCCTACTACAGATGGATTCCCTTGTTGCCACAGAATTGACATGGTTACCCTGACAGGACCTGGTATTGTTTACTGGGAATGAGAAAGTCAAAGAGAGGGAATTAATTTTTCAAGTTAGAACTGCTGACACTGGCCAGATAAGCCAAAAGGTTTGTCAAATACCCAGATCACATGGTGAAACACAGAATGAACCTGACCTTATTCTGTTGTCAAATACTAATGGGACCTTCATGCTCAGCATCCAACAGAACTTGGGGTCAAGGTAGGAGGAGCCCAGGTTGTGAGAAAAGAAAATTTGAACCATCATCATTCTTACTCTAAACAAAGGTAAACAGCACACTTTCAATATTCTTCTGCCTTCTCTCCATCCCTTGACCTCACTTGACTTCATTGTCATGGCTCCTGGTCATATAAGGACTGAGACCCATATAAGGAGAGGCTAATGGGGCCGATTGCTACCATCATTTTGTTTAGTGCTTCAGAACTCAAATGCTAGGGCTCAGTTCCCATTCCAACACTCTCTGTCCTGTGGGTCCTGTACAGATGATGCTACCTACATCCCTACATTCCAAGCCTTAGTGCTTCATTAAAGGGAAGAGATGGCTGGTGCCTCCATCAGAAGACGACTTAGCAGAAAAAAACGAGATGCTGTAAATAAAGAACTTCGGCACTGAAATGACCATCTTATGTAGTATGTTTTCCCTTTATCACCACTACTTTTTACTAGAGGGTTTGGAAAAGATAATTCTCCAAAACGGCCCTGTTCACCTACTCGTTTGCATCCAAACTGGAGTTACTGATGCAATTGGAGAAATGTGGTCAACTATATAACCAGTCTCATTTGAAAGTCATGTGCAACCACTTCAGATATCCCCCAGTCCCTTCCACCAATCCTGTGGTTCCCAACCCCGGCTTCCTCACTCTCAGAGGGAGATGATGATGCTGTTGTTGCTGCTTTTCCTGAGAAAAAAACAGCAGAGTATTGCTGTCTGCCCCCAGGCTTCACCTGTCACCTCAGAGTCTACAACGACTCCTTCTGCCCAGCCATCTCCAGATTAACACAGCCATCACTAACAAACACATGTCCATCCTTCTTCTTGCTCAGAAGATCAGGAGCCCTCTTTGACTCCTGTTTTCCCACACCTCAGAGTTAGCTCATATCCTATCAGCTCCACCCTGAACCCCTTCTAGAGTCTGACCACTTTTCACCTCTGCTCTTGCCCTGGTCCAAGCCATCTGTTGTCCATGTTAAAAACTAGTCTCCCTACCCTTGGCCTTTCACTTTTACACTTTTTAGGAACAGGGCAGGCTCAGTGGTGGTCAGAAGAGAAGGCCTGTGGGAAGTGGTTATCTGCTCACTTGTCATGCCTGTCATCTTTCTTCCAGGACTTCTGCCTATGGCCCTTTGTGTATACTAACCCCCTGTGGTTGGAAAGCCTTTTTTCCAGATTTCATTCTGGATCTTTCATTTCCCACAGGCTTCTGCTCCAGTGTCACCTGGTCAAGTGAAGCCTCGACTCCTTCCCTTACATAAAATAACCCCTGCCCATCTTTCAATTCCTTTTTCCATTTTTTCTGTTCTGTAATTTTAGCATCATCTAAAACTTCTCATGTATTACTAGGCTCTAAAGCTCCTTCCCCAACACTGGGATGAAAGTGCCAAAGGTATTTGATTCATGGTTCTCTCTGAAGCCCAGAGCAGGCATGAAATGAATATCTGTTAAACAAAAACCTGGACAAATGGTGTCCTCTACCACCTGAAAGCAAAATAGTTTAGAAAACAGGATTCTAGGGCTGGTGACATGGGTGCAGCGCTGGCTGCACAAGCCTGATAACTCGATTCAATCCCCACATATGGGTGGAAGGCGAGAACCAACTCCGCAAAGTTGTCTTTTGACCTCCACAGTCCTGCCCACACCCACTCATACACATCATGTGTTATTAACAACAACAATAATAAAACAAAACAGAATTCTAATGTTTACTGGCCCCTCATTTATGCTACCATTTATATAAACAACCTTCTGTAATCGACACTGGCCGTGTAAGAAGCTCACTGACCCATGCTCACCTCCATGAAGGGCCATGCCTGTATTCAGTCCAGGTCCATCTGACTCAAGGCACAGGTATACAAAGGAGATGAACAGCTCATGTCACCAAGGAACAGCTCGTGTCACACAGGAATCTCAGCTTGTATGATGATGATATGCTCTTGATGTTTCTTCCCAGGTTCATGACTACCTCCGCAGCAAGTTGTGCTCCCTCTATGAAAATGACTGCATTTTTGATAAATTCGAGTGTGTGTGGAATGGGTCAGACAGGTAAGAAAGGCTCTGGGGCTTAGACCCTTTATCTTGAGGAACTCTGGGAAATTCATCCTAAGTGAGGTTCATCCAAATGGAAGTCAATGTTGGGCCTCCAAGGCCTGACCAGGATGTATTGTGTGGGTCACTAACTGGACCCTGTGATCAAACCTACAAAGGAGAGAAAGATGCCACAAGACTCAAATCCATTTTAAGGCTGGCACAGGTGACAATTCAATGTCAACAAGAAAATGATGTCTTTGACATAGGAAACACCCTGAAAGCCAGGTCAACAGGCTGAGAAGACCACTGATAGTGTAGCAAGTCCTAGCCTGCAGAGTTCTGCTTATAGCCAAGTGGCTTTCTAGGCTGCTAGAGTAGACCTGACCGAAGGCCTCGAGTTTCATTAACAGATTCCAGCCCAACTCATTAATCACATTCCTTCGATGTGATTTATTGCTGTTTTAAGGCCCTTGATTTCAACAATACTTCATATTACCTCCCAATAGTTCATTTTTAGTTTGACAAATACAGATGATTCCTTGACTGTCATGAGAACTAGATGTAGGCTGCCGGCCTCATTTACTTCCTTGATGAAGAGAGCACCAGGAATAGTGTTCAGTAGCATGGAACTTCTTTCATGACAGGCCATTCTGAGAGTCCAGCTCTGAGTCCGTGCCAGCAGTCTCTCTCTGACTATCTCACCCTCATCCCCACACCCCAATGAATCCCCCCAGCTGAACTGGAAGGAGTTACAATGTGGTGAAGAACCTGGGTCCAGGTCACGCTGTCCAGTTCATACAGGAGAGCAGAGAAACTACAACATAGGAACCAAAGTCCCCACAGGAAAAGAAGCTAACCTGTTATTTCATCATTCAGCCATTGTTTATTTGTAGGTAGTATTTATAGATTTGTCATCATTGTCCCAGTTCCCCCTTTGTTGGTCTAGACTCAAAACTGATGATTATTAGGTACCTGCTATGCACAAGCACTTTTGTATGTCATCTAATCCCAGCCACAGCCTGGCAAGGTTGTTCCCACCATCCCCACTTCACAGTCAAGGAAATTAAGCCTCAGTGAGATGAAGAATAACCTGTCTAGCCTTAAAAAATAGTAAGTAGTAATAACAAAAGTAAAAATATGTTGACTTTAAGTCCTGAGCTCAATTCCTGCATAGCCCCATAATTGGGAAATTTTGTTTAGGGTTCAGATAGAGTTATTTTAGAAAAAAATAAATATTTTTTGACTTGCTTAAAAATAAGCCAGATCACAATGTAGATGTGAACATCAATGCCAGAGAAGCAATGAAGCCAGGTAGCCGGATACTTACAGCCTGGGCCCTGCACATCTGGGTGCGGAGCTTGTCACTAACTGTCACTGTGACATGCACATTTCTTCACTCACTTTGCTCTGAAATTCCCTTGCATGAGCTACTAGAAGCTGAATTGAAGTTGTGGAGGTAAAGCCCCCAGGCACTCCAGTTGACATGTCACTGGAGCACAGGGACAAACAATTCACACCATCCCTTTCTTGAACCAGGGGAACAAAACCCAACCTTTGATTAGTTTTCACAGCTGACAAAGTACCCAAGGCAGTTCAGCCTTATCAGTGTTTTTTTCTTTTTACACACAATCCATCTGAGTGTGTGTAGATGACACTAGGCATTCCTTCCCAAAAATAATCCATGCCAGCCTCCCTGGGATGCCACCATGAGACGGTATTTCAAGATCACGGGCAGAACCTGATGCCCAAGTACCGTCTGTCTCCCCCCAGCCTGCCACCTGTCTAAAATGTCACCATTAAAGATTCAGTAGTTGCTGCTGGAAAGCTTTCAGCAGTCACTGCTCTCCCTGTCAATTGTAGGTGACCCTGAGAATGAATAACTTGTAAAAAACATGCAAACTCTCTGAACAGCCATCAAAGTCTCACTCAAATTTTAGATTCAGGATGGTAAAATTTGTTTACTGTCTTTCCAAGTAAGACCATGACATCCATTTTGTAGACAAGTTTTCTGACATATCTGAATACCTGTATTCAGACGAGATGCCACTTGCAGTCACCACTGCCCCAGCACTTCTCCCATCCGGCTGATGAGCAGCGTTAGTCTACCAGTGCTCAGGAGGCCCAGAAATCTCTTCAGGACAGTGTGCTTCAAGCACGGAAAGCAGTTTGCTGTTTTCATGTGTTTCCACTTGTACAACTTCACTGTGGCCTGATGACTTAATGGAAAGTGGGTAACCCCTCATTTAGTGACCCAAAGAACAAAGAAAATAAATAATACAAAGGATTAGCACAGTCTTTGTTCCAAGCCGGCCAGAGCTTGGCACATTTAGTGTCTTGAAAAGAAGTCAACGGTCACAGTTAATAAACCTCTTCTGGATTTTGTGCTTTGTTTTGTTTTACTGTCTTTTTTTAAAAAGTTTTTTAAAAGTTATGTTTATGTGTGTCTGTATGTGGGATGTGCACAGGAGCACAGGTGCCCACAGAGACCAGAGGTACCAAGTCCCCCTGGAGCTGGAGTTATAGGTGGTTGTAAGCCACCTGACGTGTGCTTGAAACCAAACTCAGGTCCTCTGCTAGAGCAGTACATGCTTTTAACTGCTGAGAAATCTCTCCAATCTGGACCTTGGTTTTAATAAAGCCTATAGTCCTGTAAGCTGCCCATGATATGGTATCACTTGCTCCTGAAAGACACATGGGGGATGTGTTACCACCAGTGTCTATAACACTCAGTCACTCCTTGTTTCTTCCCTCCCCTGCAGTGTCATCATGACCGGCTCCTACAACAACTTCTTCAGGATGTTTGACCGAAATACCAAGCGTGACGTGACCCTGGAGGCCTCAAGGGAAAACAGCAAGCCCCGGGCTATCCTCAAACCCCGAAAAGTGTGTGTGGGGGGCAAGCGGAGAAAAGACGAGATCAGTGTCGACAGTCTGGACTTTAGCAAAAAGATCTTGCACACAGCTTGGCATCCTTCAGAAAATATTATAGCAGTGGCGGCTACAAATAACCTATATATATTCCAGGACAAGGTTAACTAGGAGGACAAGTTATTACTTAATCTCACATACTGAATACTAGTCAAACGAGTTTTTAAATGTTTCTTTCGGTCTTCATTTGATGCATTGACTTTCATTTCCCTATGCATAAAACAATTGGAATAGAATTAAAAGGAGTCCAACGTTCCCAACTCCCCAGTTCTAAGAAACTTTTGTCAAGCTCAGTAGGCGTGGGCCACTTCTGTTTAGACTTGAGAGTTGCCAGCTGGCAGTAAATCTTTCATAGTTGACTTGAATTTCTGATGCTTTATTGCCCAGTTTTCTCTGGTGGGTCCCGTGTTTTGTTTCTAGGTGTCTGCTGCGATAAAATGAGGTTGTCTGTAGTATTTAAGGAGAAGAGATAAGTTTTTTTTTTAATTAAGCAATTCCATTTGGTTGAAAAAAAAAATCAACAAAAAATAAACACCGTTTACTCTTAAAGAACTTCTCTTTTTGTGGAAAATCAGGCCTGCCCGGTTTCTCCTCTGCCTTTCCATCACCTTCTTTTTTTTTTTTTTCCTCTTTTTCATCTCCTTTTGAATAATTTCACTTCAGCCAGAGATTTATTTCATGAGGTAGAATGGGAAGGGAAGGGACACAGTGACACTGCTTTACTCTCTTTTGGTAAGTGCCATAGAAACAGCAGAGAATGTGACCAGGAAGACCATGGAGGCTTCAGGGGACATAAAGAGAGCCCTTTCACCACAGGGCTTCCCAGAGTTTGCTTGGCAAAGCCATTCGAGACCAGATCCCCTCTGCCGCTTCACTGCTCTTGCGCTCTGTTCTTTTAAATGGCTCCATAAAATCCCTTGCTCCACGTTCCTTGGCTCCTTCCCTTCAACCTTTTCCAGAGGATTTATCCCATTGACTTCTAAAAGCTACATCCCCATTGCTTAGTATCTGGGGTTCTAACTGAGGCAGTGAGGCAGAAGACTGGCAGCGGCCTAAGAAAGGCTGCTCTGTTCTTTTGGTGTTAAGTCTCCTGAGCAGCTCCCTCCACTTCTCCATCACTCTCCACTGTGCCTAGAACAACAGTGTCCAATAAAGATACGAATCTCTAAAGCTTAACCACATACTTCTGAGCCAATTTGAAACTTGCCAAACTGTAAAAAGAGACTTAAGGGCTCTCTTCCCTACAATAATAAGGTGTGATAAAACTGAGAAGCGGCAGCCTGCCCTCATCCTGTGTATTAAGTCACATTTCCTTACAGTAAGACTTGACCTCTTCGAAAAAACACTAGTCATGAAATGTTAGTGCTGATGTGCTAATATTTTTTTCAAGATTAATTACAGGAGAGGCTGGTTCATCCTTCTCTTGAGAGAAGGATTTGAACTTAACTTCAAAAAAATCTGGGCGTGGTGGTACACACCTTTAATCTCAGCACTCAAGAGGCAGAGGTAGGCAGATCTCGGTGAGATCCAGGCCAGCCTGGTCTGGTCTACTTAGCCTGGTCTACTCAGGCGAACTGGAACTACAGAAGCCTTCAAGAAAATCATTTCTACATTTCAAGAGGAAGCTTAGACAGTGGTTAGGTGTGTCCAGAAAGTATGGTCTAAATTAATGTCTGTACATCTGTCTTGATGATATATCTCCTCTAATTTCCATTAAGTAGGCAGGAAATAACCTGGGAGTTTTTCACTAAAAGGGAAATTTTCTTTTAGTTTCTGAATTTACTGAAACTCCCAACCTTCAAATTTAATTGGCATTGGAGGAGAAGAAATAGAAGAATCATGTTGTCTCAACTCTTTTTTTTATTTTTATTTTTTAGAAGAAGCATTTCATTACAGCTTTAACATACTCAATAACAATTTCCAGAGCAGAGATACATCTCTTTCAAATGTGGCTCTAAAATTTTTAGGTTCACAGTTGAATTAATACAGTTATACAATATTGAACTCAGTATAAACCCTGTAAGATGTAGAATTGAATGAGTTTTTAACCTTTAAAAAAGTTCTCCATTTTAAGCTATTCCTTGCTTAATAATAGCTTTTTGGAAAGCAAATACTATCTACTTAAGTAATGAGAATTTTGTAAGATACAGCCCAATTTCAGAACATTATAACGTAAGCCAGTACATCCCTATATTGTGGGCACATGAGGAGGAAGATCTGACCGTCCTGGTATTTCTCATGTTCCCTATGCTGCAAGACACCCCTCAGGCATCTTAGATGGCCCAGAAGAAACTCTCTGGGCAGGGAAGTGGGTCAGTGGGGACAATGAAACTTGAGAGAACCAGAAACTCTCCCACCCCTTAGAGAACTGTGATGGGTAGGGGACACTGGGTCACAGCCCTAAGTTTGCCTACTTCCTGTGAGGCCTTGTCTCACCTCCCTGGGACTCCCCACCTCTGGTTGGGGTTTGTACAAATCATTGTTTCTCAAAATGAACATCAGCCTACCTTTGTACTATTGTTCATTTAACATGTATTTAAGTCACCTTTCCTTAAGACCAAGGCAGCATCCTCCAAAAGAATATTCCGAAATGTCACTTCTGATGTGCTGAGGTTTTTTCCTAATCGCATAACTATTTATATGAGAAACACATATCCATGCATCACTGGAATCATTTTATGAACCACCAAAAGCAAATAACTAGTATAACATCTATGTCTTTGGAGGCATTAGAGTATCCCCATGGTTCTACACATACTAGAATTATAGTGCTCCCCAGAAGACACACATGAACAATTCTGGTCATCACTTAAGGAACTCACAGGCTCCCTGAAGTCTGTAGGCTTCAAATACAAGCCCTCTACACTGTGTAACAACCTCACCACAGAGATAACACCACCTGCGCTCTACAGGTAGGGTGGGGGATTTGCCAGGCAGGTCAGAGTGTAGGGCAGCCATCCTCTTCTTCACTGCACACCAAAGGGAGCCTCAGGCAAACAACCAGAAAGACAAGAGCAGGAGACCTCAAGCAGCAGCAATAACCACCATCCTTCACCACTTGCTGGCGCTTTGCCAGGTGCTGAGCTGTGAATCTGTTGTCATCTCAAGCCCCAGGTATGTTTTACTTAACAGCAATCAGAAGTTAGCCTCTTTTCCAGATGACACTCAGAGCTTCTTAAAGGCAGACCTGCTATGTTTTTAACTGTTTATTTGGTTCTAAGGACCCTGCACTGTCTGCTCTCAGTGCCATCAGATTAAGACTGGAGGACATCAGTTGGATTAAGGAAAATGGGAGGCATGCCTTTCTGTTCTTTTATTAAAATCTTCCTAAGGTAGCATTTGGTTCTGGATGTCTAACAGCAAGCCAGCCTAAAAAACTGAACCTTGATAGACAGCCATGATTTCTTGACCAAAGGAAGAGGACAAGTCATGACAAACAAGAGTGATAGAAGGCAGAATTAAGTAGGGGGATCTACTAGGTAGACAGGTAGTAGGGAGCAGTCTGCTTAACTCCTTAAAGTCCGGCTCCTGCCTTTCCTCCTCTGATGGTTAAAGGCATGATAAAACAACCACAGTGACCACACCCTGAGGATTGCAAGTGTTTTGTATGCTCACTTCACTATCTTCTCCCCTCGACCCCGATGCCTTTATGAGTCCCTTTGCAAACGGAGAAATGCCAACCCAACCAAGGACATAGCCAGTAAGAGACAGAACTTAGACTCCAACTCAACATAGCTGATTCGAGCAAAGCTATTAAAATCTGGGTCTACTGTAGACAGTAGCTAACATGACTCAGCACTCTGGGTCTACTGTAGACAGTAGCTAACATGACTCAGCACTTTTCATGGGCCACGCTCAGCTCTATAACTTGCACATGCATTAACTCTTTCACCCACCAAACTCAAGTCATGCATCTGATGGGCATGTTCTGAGAATTTCATCATCAGCCTATCTTGCCCCTGGGTTCGCATGATAACAGCCATGATAGCATATTTCTACAAACCCAGGTGGCAAGTCTACTGAACATCTAGGCCCCATGGGAGATCTACTGTTCCTAGACCACAAAACAGAAATGGCATGTTACTGTGCTGTATGATACAGGCAACTGTAAGGCGCAGTACTTCCGTAGTTAAATGTGGCTGAACAGACTTGTTTATACCACTACAATTCTGAGCAGTGTGTTACACTAGGACATTAGGACAGCTATGGTGTTAGGACAACCACAGTGGGACTAGACAATAGAAATTTTTCAGATCCATTTTAATAGTATAAATACATGTGGATCATTACTGACCAACACACTGCTATGTGGCATGTGACTGTACTGTTACAGGGAAGGAAACCAATGACAACTACATTTGCAAAGTTCACAAATAACAGAGCCAGGTAGTTTGGTCAAAGTTCTCAGCTCCATTCCCATCTCCCATTGTATATGAAAAGAGAAAGTATGGATTAGAAAGCAAGTCCCAGTCATGACCATAAGTTCACCAACATTAAAGCCTGATTGATGGCTTGGAGTGTGTCAGGCCCCAGGCCAGGGAGATGGAGGCACTGAGATGGGTAAGCCCATGCCTCTGCAAGAGTTAGGTATTTAGGAGCACTTCACACACCATATCCACATTTATAATGCAAGGAGGTATGAAGGAAGTGCAGAAACTACAGAGGAGGACCTGGATAATCAATGTGATATGGAAAGTTTACTTAGAACCCTTGACATCTAAGCAGAGTTTTAAGTCATTTCACCCACCAGGCAAACAGGGTTCAGCACTTCAATAGAGTGAACTCCACAAATGAGGAGCTAAGGCAAGAGTGGGTGTGATGTGGAGCAAAGGCCAATGCTTCTCTTAGTCCGTTACAAATGCATTTTCAATTTTCTAGCACTAACCCATCATTTGCATTCACCCACCAGTTATAATTTTGTTGTTACTGCTACTGAGTTTTGAACCCAGGGCCTCATGCATGCTATTCAAGAACTCTATAACTAAACACCATACTCCAGCTCCAGGAACAAATATTTCTTAAGTTCTATATTCTGAGTATTTAAACATACTGAATGGAAAAAATAAAAAGAAAGCAGTACTTACTGAGCAGTGACCTTTTAAAATCTCCACAATCCCCCGGTGGGTAGAAAGGTGTTCCCATGTTTATGGCTATGGACTGGATTCAAAGGCTTTTATCAACAGCCAAAAGTTTTATCTAGACCTGTCCTGTTCCAGATCCTGCACCTCTTGCTCCACAGTGATGGACAATGCATCGAGACAGACCATTCTGAACAAATACTGATAGCTGACCAGGAATACAGAGTATGAAGTCCAGGAACTCACATAAATCTCCAATTCCCAACACTAAACAACGCAGATTAACTGCTCCCAATTCAGACCTTCCACACCTAGTAAAATGTAAGGGCAGATGCAGTATGACCTTTCACCTCCACCTTCCACCTTCAGATAAAGTGAAGACAGTGATCCCTGTGGGACCCCATCCACTGCTTACCCCCATTCCCCAAAAGTCACCCTGGCTCTTCTTGGGTAGGCAGAGTCCACCAAAGC